TTACTTAACAACATGCCTAGTCATTTCATAAACATTTGCTAAACATGTTGTGTCATGTACCAGGCAAGGTGTTAGGAAAACAAGAGATAAAATATATATCCTTTGAATCAAAAGAGCTCATAGTAGAGGGAAGAGACACAAGTAAGGAAGCAAATATAAAAATAAACACTAAGATAGGAATATACACAGAATCCTGTAGGAGCAAAAGGAGAAAAAAATTTCTATGATGGTTCAGAGCCTCAATTTTTAAGTCATACAGACAGACCTGGATCCAGTTCTTAACTCTGCCACCTGAAGAGTTATGTGACATGAGAATCAAGGTTTTCTCATTTGTACAATGGGATAATAACGATTTCATCTGTCCCTTGTTGGGAGTAGATAAGACAAAAGTGCTTAGTATGGCAATACATGAGAGGCACTCAATAAGAGGTATATGATATTCATAAGAGGGCATCTGGCCTGGGTCAGGAAGGATTCCTGGTGGAGATGACTCTTGAGTTGAGTCTTAACAAATGAATAGGAAGGGGAAGGAATCAAGATCGAACCTTAGGGAAAGCTTAAATTTCCAGAGTAGCACTGAAAACTTTTCAAAATCCAGTCTCTACCTCTCTCAGCAACCTCATCTCCCTTAACTCTTCTTCTATCCAAGCTGGTTTACTCACTGACCTCAGAATACGCTTTTCTTTTCTCTATTACTGCCTAGGCCATCCCCATCCTGTTCTTGACACTAGCCTAAAGCCTGTCTATAAAGCAAACATATGTTCCATCTTCTTGTAATTGATTAGTCTAGCCCTTATTAACAGCGCCATTCTTTGAACTTTTCCATCACATGGACAGATTAACACACTCCCCTGCACACTTCTTTTGCCCTCCCACTACATACATGCTCATCATAGTCCATAACCATCTGCACCTTTGCACTGAGATTTAACTTTTTACATGTGAGTGCTGTGTCTCCATTGGAACGTAATTTCCATGGGGGCTAGACTTCATGTAATCAAGAGAAAATAGGGCAAGGATATAGCATTTTAGTCTCAGATCTATTTAGTACATGAAGGCACAGATCAGAAAACTGTTAACAACAGTCTCAGGGTTAAACATAGTGCACATGTCAGGTCTGTAGAGGCTTAAATGCTTGGACTTAATGGGATTTCTTGTTTTTAGGTTCTCACCTTGATATGCCCTCAGCTCTATCAACAGCAAATTATAAAAACTTTCCACTGCAGATTATGTGAGTCATTTAAGATGCCTCAAATCCTTCTGGGAATAAGGTATGATATAACAAAATAAAGGTCAGGAGAAAGGTTGTCAGTCAACTCCTTAGGTCTGGCTACTATAATGGGAGGTAGCCTATGGAACAGTAGAATCAATAGATGTGGGTTAAATTCCTGGCTCTTGAAACTTAATGGCTTTAGAACGTTGGCAAATCCTTAACCTCTCTGAGAGACAATTTCTTCCTCTAATAATGTGGATTAATCACTTAACACTCAGGATTGCTGTGAAAATTAAATGAGTTAATACATATATAAACAGCACAGTGCCAGAAAGATAATACTTGCTTAATTATTCATTATTAAAACATTATACCAACCTATTTTTCCTCTGAAACGCCTTTAAATAGAGTAGAAAAATAGAGATTTTCTTCCCTCTTTAAAGGTGGCATATTGGGACCCTTGCTAAAGCCCACTGATGCCTCAGGAACAAGGAATCCTAATCCTAATACCCAATGTGCAGTAGAGTTGTCTTTATGGACAATCTCTGCCTGTTACAGTGAAAAAATGTTAGATAAGATTCTTGTCATACTTCTTAGAGTAACTGAATCTTTCCAACATTAAGAACTCAATTTGATAAAGGAAAAGTGGGAGGCTTCAAGACTATAATCAAGCTGGGCTCCTACAGAAATAAAAGATAAACAGCGTTCCATAAAGCATAAAAGATGAATGCTTCAAACCCTTGAAGGCATTCGAGCACCCACTGTTGGACCAAAATGGCAGGAATCATAAAATAATGTAAAATGTGCCAAAGGGTCCTGAACTCTTGGAAGTGCAAAAAAACCTCCAAAGTCATATGGCCTAAGTCTCTCCTTATTCAGTTGAGGAAGTTAGTACAGGAGACAAGCTAAAGTACATGACAAGCTTCTTTTTGCCTCCCCAGATACTACTTCATTGTCCCAATTTTCCTAAGTTTCATTATTTTCTTTGCAGTAAGCAAGATCAGAAAAAATATTTCATTTGCCTTACAAAATGGGCACAAACACTGGAAATATCCAACACTCTTGACCCTGACAGAACACTGGCACAAAAAAACAAAGGTATATATTGGGTTGTCGGAAAAGTCATGACCTATTTTTTCTGTTTTTCATTGCAAAAATGCATCATGGCTTTTCTGACAACACAATATTATACATTCTTGCAGTTACCTGATTAAACTATCAGGTCCCTGCATAGGAAGTTGTACAAAGACAAAGAATGACAATACTGTCTACAAGCAGAAATGCATACTGTGAACTAGGGGATTTTCATAATTCTATAAAAAGAAAGATCTCTATGAGACTACCAAAATTACTGGAACTTTCTAGTGGTGATAACTGACTTCTTCCCTGTGTATCTTCCTGATGACACAATGAAGAAAAGCTGATTTAGACTGTGAGACTTCTTAGGAATATCACATACCAGGTAAATAGCTGTTAGATGATAAAAACAGTAACTTGATATCTTTTCTTCTTAACTGAACCAACCAAACTTCAAATGGCTGTTTTATTCCAAGTTCAATACAAAATTTGTGGCTCTACTCTCCTAAACTCAAGTTTATCAACTTAATATGAGTAAGACATGAAGATGCTTGGGAAAACTAAAGAAGTCATGCAGTGAATACATACATTCATTCATTTTGAATAAATGCGCATACAATCCAGAAATTAAATTGCTTTTGGTGAAATAAATTAGCTAGGTATAATTATTCTTCTTAATTAGTCCCATGAAGTTTGTTCTAACTTCAATGCTTCAGAAAAATACTAACACTAGGAACTTTATGTCTGCAAGGTCAAGAGGATCAGAAATTTTAGTAAATGGTAAGCTGAACATTAAGCAACACTGTTAGGTAAATACTAAAAGGTGAAGTGATACTACTGAACTTTAAAAATATTTAGTGATTAGAACATGTAAATAATATCAGAGGTCTGCTCTGCTCTAGTTAGGAGATCCTGGAAATACTACTGGTAGATATCACCACAGCAAAAGGACTATGTCAAAGTATGTTAAATTCCTAAGTCAAACCTCAAACCACATCACAAGAGAGCTAATGTAATAAATAGGGATAGTTAAACTAGAGAAAGAAGAGACAAAACAGGAGAACAACTAGATGCCTTTAAATACTTGCAGGACCATCAGAAACGTATTCTCATTGTTTTAATTTTAATGGGCCCTAGGAAAACAAGCACCAATGGATGAAAAGTATAGAAAAACAGATTTTGGTTTAACAATAATTTTCCATGTTAGCCTGTGAAGTCAATAAAAGTTAAGTGTGAGAGGGGAAATTTACATAAATAGGAAAAATGAATCTAAGAGACAGGCATAAGAGCTTTTGACAAAAGTTTAGGAACTCATATGGAGAACGACACTAAACCATGCAGATTAGCAATGAATTATATTCTTATAAATAAAGTCAACTTCCAATTTTTTACATCATGAAAGAAGGCAAAGTATGGATGATTCTGAAAGCCATATTTTATGGAGAATAATCTTGGAGATGAGAAAAGATGAACTGTTCTAGGTAGTGGTGATGGGAACAGAAAGGAGTGGGAGGCTTGCAGAAACATTTCAGAGATAGAGCTCATGGTACTTGATGACTTTTTGGAGACTCTTGGAATAACAGTATTTAGCGGGATTTACTGTGTTTATCTAGCCATTCATCTATTAAAAATAACAACAACAGCAGCAAATACGTAGGGCTTACCATGTGTTGGGCAATGTTCTGCATGTTTTACATAGATTAACTCATTTCATTCTCATAACTCTATGAAGTGTATTGTACTATCATGCACATTTTACGGACCAGAACTAAGAATTACATCAGTAAAATGGGTCAAAGAATAAATATCAAAGAGCTAGTAGGAGATTAAATACCGGATTTGAACCTACATAATCCCAAAGCTAAAGCTCTGAATCCATACACTAGAGAGCTGTAAAGGAAAGGCAACAAAATTCTAGGCAGGCAGCATGTAGTAATGTTAAGAGCCCAGTGAGTGAAGAGCATCAGGGGTAAGAGGACTGTAGGGGTAAGTGAGGATTTGGCACTATCAGAATCAGGTAATCACAGTCCATGTCAAGAAACAGAAAATTGTTGGCACTCAGAAGCATGATGCGCTTGTTTAAAAAAGAGAAAGAAAAAAGAAACCCAAGCAATAAAACATCTGCATTGAATCCAAATTCCTAGAAATGGGATCTAGGAATTAAGTTGCTTTTTAAAAAGCAAAACCAAAAACCCTGGGTAATTCTGAGACAGAACTAGGTTTGGGAACTGCTTTAATATTTTAGTTGACATTTTCTCAGAAACAAAAGAAGGGAGGGAGGGATACTAGCACCAAGGAAACGGCTGAGTATTTACACATCACACCATTTAGGCTCCCATTTTTACTAAACAGCCTCTCATAGGAACAGGTATAGAGCAGGCAGTGGAAGGAGGGGTGTGATATTCACGGTATGTTGGCTACAAAGCAAGCTTTCCTCAGGATTTCCTGGAGCATTAGTAAAAAGGAAACCCGTCGTGACTATAAATACATGTGGATCCGACTCAAAAATGAGGTGGATTCCTCAGATCCATGTCTGGCTAACGATGGATGCCAATATATTCTTCTACGTGCTCAAAAGCGTTGCAGGAAACCTCTAGGTTGGGGCCTGCCTGCTCCTAAGCCAAAAGAATCTGTCTGCTCTGCAAAAGAGGTGTCTGCTCTGCAAATACACTTCAAATACCCTATCAAAGATGACCTGTCCCCCACATACCTGAGGGTCCTCTGGTAAGATTAATCTCTTCCTCGGTGACCAAATAATCCACTCTTCCGTTCATGTTTTACTGCCTGTCTGGTTTCCCACCTGGGTCAACTAGGACTCGCACAGGTGAAGGTGAATCAATCTCGGCGCGGCGCCCAAAACACACCACTTTCGATTTCGGCAGCCCTCGGACCGGAAGAGGAAGTCGAGAGCGCTGGGAGCGCCAGGAATGCTGGGAGTCGTGGTCCTGGCGGGAGACGCTAGGTGTTACCTCACCCAGTGCTCAAAGCCGACTGAGAGGTGAGCAAAGAGCAAGATACATCTTAATTTGCTATTGGGGGTGAGGGAGGGAAGGATAGTAAAAGACATAAATTAGTATTGTCGAGGAAAAATTAAAAATAAAATCTCCTGCCATCTCAGAAAATCTCCACAAATGTAGAAAAGGAAAAAAAAAAAAAGCTCTTTTATTCAGTAAGCATTAAACCAGACTGGGATGGATGTCTCAGGCAATCCGCTAATGGGGTTACAAAGACAAAATTCTCACCCTTTTCTATAGCCAAGCAGAACAATCCATGACATGCATATTCTCATGTAAGAGGACTTAACAACACCGCTTGCTATATACGATCGTTCTTTGGTAAATCGCCCTTGGGGTTACAATCTGTTGCTTGACATTATCCAACTTAAAAAATAAAACTATCTTTATGACAAGCAGCTGCTTGCAGCTTGGAGCATGGCACCTAGGGTAACTCCTACAGTGAATTTAGGTTGGGCACTATCTTCCCTGATATTTACATTTCACAGAGTTGGCTCCCAGGACATTGAGAAAAACTTTTCTGAGTTGTCCCTGACTAGAGGCTTGTTTAGCTTTAAAAAAAGATTTATATACATATCAAAGGGACAGTAGAAGTATTTATAATTACAGATTTGCTCAAGAAAATCCTTCATTTTGGTAACAGGGAAAAGTCAATCTTTTTTTTAAAAAGTCACTGTAGTAAGACTAGTGGATGAACTAGCTATGACTTCAGCCCAGCTTCCTGACTTTTGCGGTAGAATTTCAAAACAGGGCTTTAAGGAACCTTCAAGGGTAAAAAATGTACAAGCCTTTTATGGGCCAGGAAGGTGATCTAAATGTGGGAAACAACCTGGATAGACTACAGGAAGTGGTGGGGACCCTGGAGGACTGAAAAGTGCCGTTTCCATTAAGGCAATTCAAATTCAGATTAAATAAAACAGAAGCTACTGTGTTTACCAACAAAACAAGAATGAAGCAGATTCCTCAAGAAGGATTCTTATTTGCTAACCCTGAGAGAAGTTAATATGGAATAGTGGAAAGAACACAGGAGATAATGTCAGAAGACCTGATCTCAAATTTTGGCTCAATCTCCTTCCAGTTGTCTGGCTTTGAGCAGATAACATAATATCTCCTGTTTTTCCCCATCTGAAAAAAAGGGGATAATATAGATCTTTAAAAGGTTGTTGAAAGAATTAAATGGATGAAATTTTTTAAATTACGTCTCAACTTCAAAGTCAGATTCTTTTCACTGTCACTTCCAACCCTCCTCAACATATGTTGGTTGAATGAGTGAATAAAAGGATCATAACAAAAAGCAGAGTATGATAAGTGAGAACACTAAGGTACAAGTAAGGGACATTGAAATACCAAGAGAAAAGAGATCATACAGAAATAGGAAAAGAAAACCAAGAAAGTCATCAATAAAGAAATTTGGAGGAAAAAAGTATCTTATAGACTACTGAGGGGGAAATCACTACTCTGTACCTGGAAAGAGTGCTCTTCTCACCTGAGCACACAGCTTCAGGAGGAACACATAGGGCAGTAATAGGAAAAGAGTTACCAAATAAGTTCAGGAAATGCTGGCTATAAGTGGAGCAACAGATTAGGTGTGTAAATTGCCTTTATATCTTAATGTAAGTATAGTTTTTTTAAGAATAAGGAAACTTTAATATGTAGAGAGGCAGAAAACAGAGATTTCCACTCAGAGAAAACAATTGAGAAAAATTATGGAATCAGGATAATGATGGAAGTAGTTAAGGTATTGCAAATAAAACAGAGTTTATAGCGAAAAGCAGAATGGGATGGTAGGTGATGACACTGAAAAAACAGTCTAGAAACAGATTGTGGAGGGACATAAGTGCAGAAATATATACTTAATTTTATATGTAATATGCTAAGATGGAAGTTTGTTTCTCTCATATTAAAGAACTCTGGAAATAGATCGTTCAGACCTGATATTTAGGCTCCCCAGTCATTGTGGTCCAGGTTCCTTCCAGCTTTCTGTCCCCACCCAGCCCTATCCCTGGAGTTTGGCTTTTGCTTCATGGTCCAAGATTAGGTTAAGATGGGTTTGGGAACTTCAGCCATAATTTTCATATTTCAAGAAAGTAGTGAAGAAAAGGCAAAGAAATGCTCACTCCATACCTTAATGGAGACCTCATGGAAGTTTCATGCACTTCTTGTAGCCAGAAACCTGGTCTTATGGTTATATTTAATTATAAGGGAGGCCTAGGATGTATTTTAGTGGGATGGTAATATGCCAACTTAAAAAAAAAATCAGGGTTACTATTATAAATTAAAAGGTGAGAATGGATATTGGGAGTCTACTGGTAGTCTCTGACTTGCAAAGTGACACTTTCTGTCTGAACCAGCCTTTCTGTTTAAGGCTTTATGACCTTGAGATGTGTAAAAATTATGAAACTTGGTGACTTAAGCCTACTATTTACAAGATTAGTGGAAACTTTGCCTCACACCTTGAGGTACTTTACCCACAATTTCCTCTATTTTTGCACATTTCATATCATGTATTCACTTTGTCTTTCCAATCTCCTGTCTGCTTCTGTCCCCTCCTACTTCAATATTTTATCAGCCTCAACTGATGGATGTGTTTGCATTTAGGAGTTAACCACCTCTCCTTTGATAGGCATTAGTTCCAATTTGCTGCCCTATAACTGACCTCTTTGTTTTCAAACTTTGCACATTTTATTTTTTCTGTGCTTCCTTAGGTAATTAAACCCCTTTTTGACATTTTTTTACTTGTTGTATTATTACATTTAATCAGATTGTATTAGTTTGTTAGAACTACCATAACAAATACCACAGAGTAAGTGACTTAAATAACAAAAATTTATTTTCCCACAGTTCTGGAGGCTTAAAGTCCAAGATCAAGGTATTAGCAGTATTGGTTTCTTCTCAGGCTTCTGTCCTTGGCATGTAGATGTCTGTCCTTTTCCTCTGTGTTTACATGATCTTCTGTGCGTGTACAGATCTGTGTCCAAATTTCCTCTTCTTATAAAGATACCAGTCATATTGATTTAGGGCTTATGCTAATGACCTTATTTTAACTTACTTAGCTCTTTAAAGACCTTATTTCTAGCAGCCGTAAAGGATTAGCACAAAATATTCAACGTGCTGAAAAGCAAGGACTTCCAACAAAGATTACTCTACCAGCAAAGCTATCATTTAAACTCAAAAGACAGATAAAGAGCTTCCCAGACAAAAAAAGCTAAAGTTCATCACCACCAAACCAGTATTACAAGGACTGTTAGAGGGACTTCTTTAAGATGGGGGAAAAAAAATCAAAACTATGAATAATAAAATGGTAATAACTACATATCTAACAACAATTACTTTCAATGTAAATGGATTAAATGCTCCAATCAAAAACATAGGGTGGCTAAATGGATAAGAAAACAAAAGCCCTACCGTGTTTCCCTGAAAATAAGACCTAACTGGAAAATAAGCCCTAGCATGATTTCATCGCTTTTGTGTGGACCATCATTCTTAACTGTCATCATATTTGTTGCCACTCTTGTCTCGTAATGTAGATTGTTGTACATGAAAAAATGAGACATGCCCTGGAAATAAGCCCTAATGCATCTTTTGGAGCAAAAATCAATGTGAGACCCGGTCTTATTTTCGGGGAAACATGGTACGTATGCTGCATACAAGAGACTTCAGATAGAAAGTCACACAGACTGAAAGCAAAGGGATAGAAAAATTATTTCATGAAAATGGGAATAAAAAAAAAGCTGGAGTATCAACACTTATACTAGACAAAATAAATCTTAAAACAATGGCTATAACAAGAGACAAATAAGGATCCAGTAATCCTACTTCTGAGTATCTGAAGAAATCAAAATGCTACTTCAAAGGTACCTGTGCATCTACATGTTCATTGCAGCATTGTTTATAATGGCCAAGATGTGGAGGCAGCCTGGGTGTCTGTCAATGGAAGAATAGATAAAGAGGAGGTGGTACATATACAATTGAATATTGCTCAGCCATGGAGTGGAATGGGTTCTTGCCATCTGCAGCAGCATGGGTGGACCTGGGAGGTACTGTACTGAGCAAAGTGTCAGACAGACGCAATGTGATTACGCTTATATATGGAATCTAAAGAAACAAACAAAGAAATGGAAACAAATTCATAGATACAGAGAACATTTTGATGGTTGCCAGATGGAGAGGGGGTTGAAGGGGTGGGCTATGAAAAAGGAGAGGGGATTAAGAAGTACAAATTTGTTGTTACAAAGTAATCATGGGTATAGTGTAAGGAATATAATTAATATTATAATAATTATGTGATGTCAGATGGGCATTAGATTTATCAGGATGAGAGATGGGAGGAGGTTTAGGGGGCAGGGTGAAAAAGATGAAGGGATTAAGAAGTACAAATGGTACGTAGTTACAAAATAGTCATGGGGATGTAAAGTAAAGCATAGGGAATATAGTCAATAATATGGTAATAGCTATGTATGGTGTCAGGTGACTACTAGACAGGAGGATCACTTGTTAAATTATAAAATTATACAAATGTCTAACCACTATGCTATACACCTGAAATTAATATAAAATAATATTGTCAAAAATTTGAATATATTTTTTTAAAAAGACCTTATCTCTAAATATGGTTATATTCTGAGGGTTAGAGCTTTAACATATGAATTTTGTGGGGTCACAATTTATCCCATAAAACAGATTACAGGGAAGTCTTACAGATTTTAGAACTGTTCAATATCTTTAAGATGGCACTGCATATCTGCTGCAGTCCATTACAAGTTGGTTTTACAGTTTAACCCTGATAGCAGTATTATTTCTTTAATTTCCAAGTTCTTGGGGAAAATTGCAGACTTTTAAGTATTGATAACAGCAATTGTCAGCAAGGTA